ATTCATGAGGTAACCACTGTTTCTTTAAGTTAACAACATAAACATACAATAGCAGTTGTGTAAGAAACGACCTTTTTAAAAACAAATTGATGTCCACAGCAAATTAAACTTTACAACATTTCAAATGACAGGTAAAACTACTTCAAAAAGTATGAAATACAAAAAAATACAAACAATACCGATGCAGAAAAAAAAAGAACTTGGGACAGCAACACAAACAATGTTTAATAAACAAATAACATATAAAAAATATTCACCCGACTTATTTCGGGAGACCTCGGATGCTCTAACAAAGGTAAGAATTTTCTTTTCCTTAAGTGGTACACGAACGATTGAAATCTTCGTGAGTTACGACGTCGTCTTTAGGAATGAAGCCACTAGTTCAAAGTTATGAATGCTTTCTTTGTTGAATTCTGCAATTTCAAGCATTCATAGCTATTTTGTCTAAAGTTCGAATAAAATGACAACCATTTCATGTCAAAACTATACCTTATCCTGACTTTTGCTGTAGAATTCGATATACCTTTAATTGCATATTAGGGTGCACCGAAGTTTGATAGTACGAGTTCTTCTGAGTTGAGCGACAGAGCAAATATGCCATCTTATTTTTTTTGTTTCATTTAAAAAATAAATTATCATTCGAAAGAAATATTCAAAAAGGGTTCTACAGTAATCTCAAGTTATTAAGCCTTCATTTGATACCAATTAATATTACCGATTTTTTTTTCTTACTGACAAAGCAACAATTTGCGTAGAACTATTTTGTTTTCAATACGTTCTACTTTCTTGTATGTTTTTTCTGATCGGGCCTGAATTAGTGATCATATAGCTATAACAGAACCTAACTTGCTATATTGACTTATGCTTTACTTAATTGCATTTCATGGTCTATTTCTAGCAAAGAAAAACACATAAAGCCTTTGTCCAAACACTGTTTTGCTGAATTCAGCTCAGACCAAACGAACTGGTAGTAATATATGCCCAATAAAAACTTAAATTCATTGATAAGTTTGTCTCGTCTGTTTTTCTGCAAGTTAGATAAGGGATGTTTTTGGTAAAAAATCCATACGTTTTTATGTAATTACATTGAACAACAAAAGCAATTCGTGTTATTACCAGTTGACAAATTGATAAACTGGTTGAAGATTGCATTTCAAGTGAGATTTATGAATTCATATAAGTAGATACCAATTTATTAAGTCTATAAAATGATACAATATAAAGAAACCCAATAAAATATGGAAAGTCACATGATAATTTGACATGTCGGTCCAGAGTATCATTCCATATAATTTTGCAGTTATTCCCAATCACTTCAACCTTTGAACAAAAGATTTATTAATTGGAACAGTTTTAAATAGCGTTTTACCTTAGATCAACCAGAAATTGCCCTGACATGAATATTAAGTAATGTTTACTATGCAATCTAAACAGCAGGATGTGCCACCACAATATTTCGTAGTGCCAGAAATTATAGATTACTTTACCACCACGTTTACTTTAAGTTTCAAGGAATTGTACTTAGTGCCAACAGATTACGAAGTCATGAACTGGTATCTATATGTTTGAACATCGTTGCCTTAGTCTACCCACGGATGTAAAGTTAAACATGTTATACACATACTTTAGAAAATGTTAGATAGTTGTGTTGAAAATGATTCTATTCTATTTGATAAATATACTTTCTATTTTTAAGTGCATGACACAAGACACTTAGTAAATTATTCTAACATGAACATGATGAAATATACAAATATAATGAACCTATTGATATGATTTGATAGCTTTATAATATATTTTGTGAAATGAGTTATATTATTAATACTAACATAGTGAATTAAGTTATATCTTACTAAACAGTGCTTCCCTTAAAAGATAAGCTAAACTGAACAATACTAAGTTCAAAGCCATTAAATTAGTAACATGTTACAGAAAATGTGCAATAAAGAAATTGTAACAATGAAAAAAAATTAAGAATACTATCTTTATGAATACAGAGAGCTAAATGACACAAATGTACACTACAATGTTTTTTTGCAGACCTGTTGTAAAATACCAATTTAGACGTTCAGATTGGAAATTAAAGGTTTACTATCTATCAGGAAAAATGTTAAAAGGAACATGTTGACGAAATTAAGATAAATGTAAATAAGTTAGTAAAAAATATTTCTTTAGCTCTTATGAAGCAGAATTAAAACAACATATTCTCATAGAGAAGAAAATAAATTAAAAAATATTTCAATTTCTCTTTCTAACAAATTGACGCTCCTTTATTTGTTAGTGAGTGCTAGTATTTCACATTTATCAAGGATGTGTACGTTTTTGGTGGGGTTCGTGTTGTTTATTTATTAGTTTTTCTCATTTCGTGTTTTGTGAACTTGTTTGTCTTTTCGTCATCTTTCTTGCTCTTTTTTTTTATTGCAATTGTTTTTTTCATTTTCTTTCATCTGATGAGTTTTTTTTTATGTCGCCGTGGTTTTCCCCCAATATAAAATTTTTATATCTAGATTGTTGTCTTCAATTGATACTGGTTGAAATGATGTGCAGCAACAACAGTTTATCAATGTGAAATTACATTATCCGATTAATAAATTACAAATTAAGGTAAGACACAAAATCTGATTTAAATATTAAGCTTTGATTATATCGAAAACCATTTTACATTATTTTTGATGGCTGGATGAAATTCGAATCAAACTTCTACATGGAAATGAAAATTAAGAGGTTTTTTTTTCTCGACGTATACCTGTTTATGACATTGTTTCGCCAAACAAAAAATGGAAATCCCTAAAATGTTGTCCAAGATCCAAATCTATCTGAGTTAATTTTCAGCAATGAAATGTAGATACAGGAGTTTGTATAATAGCTTTTAAGGTTTGATTGATACACAATTTAGAACAAAGCAAAGCTATGTCAAATAATATGAGATTTTAAATTGTATAATGGTCACACTGTCTAAATGATTTAATGCTCTTTAGCTTTCTATTTAATCTGGTCTTCCAGCAATTTTAATTTCGATCATCACAGATGAATGATATGTAGATGAAACGAGCGTCTAGCGTACTAAATTATCACCTGGTATCGTTGATGAGTTTGAATTATGAGTTCGACCTTAATGTGAACAAAATCAGAATTGAGAAAGTTATGAATGAGGAGATGTGGATGCACGTCTAAGAGATAGCTATCCATCGACAAAAAAACCAATAATACATCTTTAGGGTAAGATATAGTCTTCGACAAAAGACAGGTGCCCACAAATTATGTTGAGCTCTAAATCGTCTTGAACGGATAAAAAGGGCTAGTTAAAGTTAGAAAAAGTTTTCTTTCTTATTGCATGACTACTACATATTTATCGTGTTGCTGCGTTTTACCACAACTGGGTCGAAACCACTGCTGGAAGACGTTTTATCCCCGTGGGTATCATCTGACCCCTTATCATCTTACCATTATTGAGATAAAAGATAATTGTTTGAAACTTTACATTTCACAAAAAAATGTTACACAAAGACAAAGCTGACAGTAGCCAGATTTGACGCAATTTTTTTAAGGAATTCTTGGTTTTCATTCTCTTTAAATTTGTAATTAATTTTCAATTGAGCCCTAAAATCAAGCAGTGGCTTTTCAAACAATTCAACGAAAAAAATAACACCGTCTATAAGGAAATAAATGACTTCAGTTCATATTATTTTTTCAAACTGTACAAGTCTCTGGCTTCTACCAAATATATAATGCGTTTATTTGAGAACATTACCAATAGGTGAAAGAAACATTTCATAATACGTAATATGTTGAAACACGTGTTTGATGTAGGAGGAAACAAAATGTGTTACTGACCCTTAGTACATTTCTTTAGATGACATAATCTGCAATTTCTAAGACAACATGACATTTAAAGTTTCAAATATGATTAACGAGTTCATCATTTGCGGCTAACTTACAAATTTCCTTGTGTACATGTGTATTATAAACAAAATAATTGAAAAGGTATAAAAGGACGATTTGTAAGCAGTAAAACACTATTCATTAGAAATAATTCCAATTGATAGAAACAAAGGTAAGAAATTATTAAATATTAAACAGATTTTCTCTGTTTTAGAATCTATCGGAATAGATAATCTGACTGAAATAACTGTTTGATAGATAAGCAATAATAAATATACGAAGTTATGTTCCAGTCTGTAGGGTTTAAATACTGTAAAAAGTAAATGTCTATTTCATACTAAGACTTGACAATCAATGAATGTTATGCAAGTTCGAGATGAATACTTTGCTTCGATCCCCTTTTCTTTGAATGTTAATTCGTGAATCGATATCTTATATATCTTTCTATTTTGTAATATCAACCTAATCTCTCTGAAAAATAAAGTTGTGGTATAGATTGAAGCTTGATTTATACGATTTATTGCTCTGAATTTTTCCCCAGATTTGTCTGTAAATTGATTTCCTTTTTATTTAGCTCTTCAACCCCAGTATAACACTTTGAATATTGAAATATTGCTTCGAGAATCACTAATAAGACATTAATAGTCGACATACGCATCTGTTGCATGAATACTGGTACCTCTTATAATTTTATTTACATGTAGGACACACTCTTCACATTCAGTTTGGTATTCTGTTTTCTTATTTCGAAGATATCCCTTAGAAAATATCATAACGGTCGAAATATAGGCACCTTCCCTTCGTTTCTCAAATTGTTTTCTATTTTCTATTTTTAGAGTGCATTTAATAAAGGCTGTCTTCAAATGTTCATTTCAAAATTCTATCGACTTTCAGATTTATCTTAAGTCACATGCCTTCTTCATGTATCATCCTTCTGTCATTTTATATACCTCCCAAAGAATTTATATGCCTCGAAAAGTATAGTTTTTAAAATTTTACTGTCTTGCAAATGTATAGAAAAATCAAACACAGTTTTACTATTAAATGATTCGTATTAAAATTAAATGTGTGAATTTTTATTTTCATAGAAATGATGTTATCCTGTTAATTTCAGAATTCTTTGAAATGATGAGGTTCCAGACCATATTCTTGTTGATGGCATTGACCACAATGACAGTAGCCGGTAAGAAAGATATTTGATTTGCCATTTCAAAATTTATAAGCTGTTTAACAAAGTTTTATCAATGTGTAGATAAAATCTAAATTTCTTATCGCCGAAATCTTCTTAAACATAGATAACTTTCGTACATAATTATATGAAGGCATATTACCAACATCTGCATATTCTGTAAATTATAATGAAACAAATTTGAAACAAATGGTTTTGTGTTTTGAATTGTTTCTAATTTTATCATGGGGGTCTTTTAATAGATAACGATAAGGTATGGGTTTTGCTCAGTGCTGAAACCGAACGGTACCTGCAACTGTTTACAACCTCGCCTTTTTGTCTATGGTGGATAATTGTCTTTTTGACAATTATACCAAGTATCCTTATATAAATATATAAATGTTAGTTAACCTGTATTGTTAATGGTATTACTTGATTGATAAAGATTATATAAATTGTGAGATATTTAATTTTACAGTCTATGTACCCATTGAAAAGCATGCATTAGATATAAATGGAGTGAAGAAGGTTTTACAAGTTTACACCATCCTTTGGTGTATGGTGAATAGTTGTCTTATTTGCAATAACTACATATATCCTGATATTCATATGCAGATAGTAATTCACCTGTATTGTATTTTTTATTACTTGATTTGTGAATATTGTAAAAACTATTCTATGTTTATTCTTACAGCCTATTCACCAACAGAAAAGCATGCATTAGACAAACATGGAGCGAAGAAGATTTTACAGGTCGAAAACACAGTTGGGAGAGACATAAACGGGCGTAGTGGTGTTGGATCTCTTTCTGTACTGGATGTAATTGATGCAAACAGACGAGCAGGATCAAGAGCAGTTGGAACATCTCATGGAATAGGCAATGACTTTTTATCACGCGGGTCATCAGCTAGTAGAGGATTGTCTGGGGGTTCTATTGGAGGCAGGACATCTGTAACTGAAATTATTAGAGGCTCCTCAGCTGGTATTTCACGTGCTTTATCTGACGATGACAGTATCAGTAACTGTCATTATGGGTGTGGAGGAGATAAATTATGTCGTTCAGGACATAAATGTATTCACAATGGTTGTAGCAGCTACTGCGTCGAAATTTCTTCTGGAAGTATAATTGGTGCATCTGGATTGTCGGATTCTATAAGAAGGGAAATAGTTAGAAGTGTGTCATCTGGCTTGACCAGAGTTTCGAGTAATGATGGTCATTTATCCTCTGGCAGCAGAATTGGTTCATCTGGTCTGGCCAGGGATTTGGGCCTATCTAGCAATTCTCATTTGGAAACAATAGGTAGAAGTCGTGGAATATCTGGTCATACAGGTTCTGATATTCTTGACGCAACCAACCTTAGACGAAGTGGACTTGATGTATTAGACACAGTTTCATTAAGACGTGGTGGATCAGTACGTACTTCTGGTTCAGGGGTCGTTTCTCAGTCAGTAGTAAGTGGATCAATTGGTTGCAAAAAAGAGTGTCATCGTGATGGAGATTGTCCAACGAACAAATACTGTGCAACTGTTAATTGTCACATGATTTGTCGAAGAAGGCCGTCTAATGGATACACACGATGAACATGTACAGAATATCACCAAAATCCAGACGTTGAACACTTATTTTTTTTTTTTTTTATAAAATAAAATGTTTCATTCAGTTTGTGTTATTGTATAAATTTCTATACTACAATACAAAATATTGATTATTTAGGCGTGAAAGCAATCCTACTCAGAAAAAGTGAAACAACGAAAGGATATTAATACAGATAAGAGAAATAAGATATCAATTGAAAAAGAGTTTGGTGATTTCAATTAATACCATTTACACATTTGCTCTTAACACAAAAACATACATACCATAAACAATTAGAAAAATTGTAGAGCAAAATCTATAAACTATATTTGCCAAAGCAAACACAATGCCTTGGAAAGTTCTACATTTATTTGCATTCTAAAATAACTACTAAAAGTATTAATATTTTGGAACTTTTTAAATCTGGATACGTGCTGAAAGTTAGGCAAATCGGACAACTAAAGATTTACTATAAGAAAACAGAATCAGTGAATGACATAATCCAAAAAATTTGTTTATTAAAATAGGTATACATGAAACCAGAATAATGTCACGGAAAGAAGTTTAAGGATATGTTTTAATAGCAAAAATAGTTTACCTCAGGAAATATTAAGTTTGTTTGTAAATTTATATATGTACATTTATATGGTCGGTCCTGAATATTTAAAGATATATGAAGTATTTATAGCTTACTATGCGGTATGGGTATTAATCATTGTTGAAGGTCGTTTGCTGACCTATAGTTATCAACTTTCACATCATTACGTCTCTGATGGTGAGTTGTCTCATTGGCAATCATGCAACATCTTCTTATTTTTATATCTAATAGACAGCTGAAAGGGTTTTGGAAGCCCTCTTCGAGGTTCCATATTTGATTACTACCTTACCTCATCCGAAAACTTTTTTATGAAAATTTCAGAGTATCCATTATTACATTTGTAAGCAAACATACAGCTAGTCTTTTATAACATGACAAAAAAACACTTCACAGTTTATCTGTGCTAATATATTGATATAGTATAGGAGACTATTCTTGTTCTATTTCGCTGTAGAACATGAAATCAGATTTAATGTTGAAGTATTCAAAAAAAAAAAACAACCGATTTATATCAATGAGTATGGTGAAGATTGTGTGCTTAGTCTATAATTGAGAAAAAAAAACTCAATCATCAAACGGTTTTATGGATATAAAAAAAAAAAAATTTTTGTTCAAATGAGAACAACAATAGATATTTTATACAAGCGGAAATGAAATTTGTATTTTTTCATACTTAAATTCGTGGCCAATCAATACCAACAAACTCGAAAAGGTCTTAACACTCAACCTTTCATCGTTGTCCTTAGGTGAATGGTATTCTCCTTGAAATTACGTAGAATATACTTTAAGTTCGTGCATTTTCTGAAAGCCAGCACATTAGCCGATCTTTGTTTGGTAGTCAAAGACAGAAATAATGGTTAATGGTTGCTTTAAAAAAATAATTTCAAACATCGACTTTTTAATAAGCACTCACTTATGTGCTGGTTTATGTTGATTTATGTATCCGTTTTTATTCTGTAGTTAGTCACGACTTCGGTGTTATCATGTATATCTATTATATAGTCATTTTTATAAATTTATTGTTTGCAAATGTATGAATTATTCTAAATACTAAGGTTTTTCTTATTCCAGACATATAACCTTAACCGTATTTGGCACTACTTTTTGGAACTTTTAGTCCTCAATGCTCTTCAACTTTGTACTTGTTTTGGCTTTCGAACTTTTTGATCTGAGCGTCACTGGTTAGTCTTGTGTGGACGAAACGCGCGTCTTGCGTATTAAATTTTTAACCTGGTACCTTTTGTTAGCTATTATTCGTATGTTTCTCTGTCCTATATGTTCTTCCTTTATTTGTATTGTAGGCCTGTCATGTTATGTTGTCATTTTAATGTTATATTTAACATTGCCATAAAAGCGGGAGGTTTGGCTAGCCACAAAACCAGGTTCAACCCACAATTTTTTTCTTAAAATGTCCTGTACCAAGTCAGGAAAATGGCCATTGTTATATTATAGTTTGTTTCTGTGTGTGTTACATTTTAATGTTGTGTTTCTGTTGTTTCGTAGTTCTCTTATATTTGATGTGTTTCCCTCAATTTTAGTTTGTAACCCGGATTTGTTTTTTTCTCGATCGATTTATGAATTTCGAACAGCGGTATACTACTGTTGCCTTTATTTAAAACATAACAAATTGATGTGTTTAACCATTGTTGTTGTGTACATCGATCACTTTTAAACTTTTCAGAATGTAACAACGGCCTGCACCGTAAATGTGTCAAGAAGGACTTTTTTTATATCCACGGCCAATCAAACGTAACAATACGATAGATGACAGGAAAAGGTATCAAAAACGAAGAAATACAGACATGCCGAGGCAATCAATGAAATGGATACAAACAAAACAAACAATGTTCAAAAACAAAAAATTAAAATAGCACTTTATAAACAAGAAATTGCACAGAGAGACGAACAATTCTTTACCCGAAGCAGCTTTTAGCTTTACAACTTAAGTGGTAGTACAATCAAAACAATATACTAATTTCGTGTGCACTACATCTGTGTCATAAAGTTTGTAAGGCCACACTAAAACATACATTTGGTACTGCACATGGTTAAAAACATCCTTAGATCACTGCAAATCCATAAATTATTGCGTGCATTTATTAATGCGATATTTGAAAAATGGACAAAATGCGAAAATAATTATTGCGTTTTTTAGAAAAACATATATATGTATCAGATATATAAGTGCGAGTTCTTATTATTGCGATAATCACCCAGTCTCATTATTCGCATTGATAAAAACCTCGTAATAATTCCTGATTTTTTAGTAGTTCGAAATCATAATTTTTCCTATTCATAATACTTTTCCATTTCTAAGTACTTGTAATATGATAATGTTTAGTTGCCTCTTCTTAATTGTTTTTGTCGAAATGCCTGATGGGAAAGTGAGTCTTTGCAAACAAAATGCACGTCTTGCTTACAAGTTTACAATCTTTGTATCTTTGATGAGTTTTTACAGCCACTGGGTCGATGCAAATGCTGGTGGACTTTTCTTCCCCGAAGGTATTATCAGCCAAATATTCGAAACACTTAGGGCTTTCTACCAGCGGGTATAGATGGCCATAATTTGGCACAAACATTCAAAATATTTAGTATAAAAAGCTCTTGAACTGCGTATTTAGTTTTGTCAAATGTTTGAGCGATACCGATGAGTCTCTTGCAGACGAAACACGAATCTGGTGTGCAAAATCACTAACCTGGTATATTTTTCGGGTTTTTACGTCATTTTTGTAAAAAAAAACCGATATATCCGATATCATGTTTACATGCCTGTACCTAATTTACACAGTGTAATATTTTTTAAACTAAAGCACCGCTTTCCTTTAAGCCATGTCTTTTCAAACGCAACACTTGAGCAAACTGTTATCTATAAAACCGTTTAATTCATATTAGCTCAGCTTTCCCTACAGTATCTGTTTCCAATGCTATGAATGGTCAAACCGAAGCCAAAGGACTGATAATTTTGGTAAATAAGAATCGCCGTATTAGTCACCGACGAATAGCTAACTCAATACATAAATTAAGGGGAAATTCATTTTTGTTTGGGAAAAAAGGATAACAAATAGAGAACAGCTCTTGATTTTCAACCTGTTTTCCTGAGTTCCTTTTCTTATAATTTTGCTACTGTTCCCAATTACAACAACCCTTAAATCAAAGATGTATTAATCGGAACCATTTCAATCTTTTTCAAACTCAGTTGACATAGAAACATTTAAAATGAAAAAAATATATGCATATCAAAATATGATAAAAGAATTATATTGGCCAGTAAGAAACTGAAACTGTTGCCACTTTGTTCTTGCCCTCATGTATATAAGCATGTATATTAGTATAAAAAAAATACATATTACAAAATCTGCCGATTTCTATGTCAAATCCTTGGCATTTTCTTTTATATTTAAGTGAATATTCATATCTCATATATCACCTGAAAAATTATATACTAGTGAAAAGGTAGTTTGCTTCATTTCATATTTTTTTCTTGAATTATGCTGATAGGAATTCAGATCTAAAAAAAATTTATTAATTTGAGTTCTCCTCCTGTTATCTACCTTTTACTGAGTAGTATCAAACCATCAATGCAGCATATTGTGTTAGTCGTAGAAGTTGGTAAGATGCGCGTTATGGCTGCCATAATCATACACAATATTTCAAGTAACTATTCAAAGTAATCAGTTCCCAGTGTGAAGTAATCAAAAAGATGCAGATGCAGAAGATACCATAGGGGAAACGAAAAACTAACAAAATCATGGCAAAAAAATAAAAATCGAAGAAAGCACAAAAACAGTTCAGAAAACTATGAAATCAATTATTGAGCGAGAGGTCATCACTTATACAGCGATTTGTGAAAATAAATGATATCTTTGGCTTCTTTCCATTTTCTTTCTAAACTACGTACTGTATGGAGTCTGGCGTAAATGACTAAAGAAACAACTGTGCAAGAAGAGAAGTTGGTTTCCATATGATTGGTAAAGGCATATTAAAATAGGGAGAGGTTAATTATTTTGAAAACGCTGAAAATATTTATCATATAAAACAGCCGAAATGATAAAAAAAATATCAGTCTTCAAGAGGTCAATCCTATTCTTTCTTTTCTAATAACACTTCCAAGAATTGAAATAAAACAATTAACTGATTTCATTGTTTTATCTACGTTTATATACATATGAATTTGAAATTTCTTTTAAAGAAACATTGAAAAGGGGGAATTAACTGTAAATCTTTTATGCCAAAGTTTTGTGTATGCAATTCTTGTAATTCTGAACCTCTTTTCTGATCAATGCAAATTAGACCATTGCCTGAAAAGGAAGATGTTCAATACAGTAATTTGAAGTACAAAATATTTTAATCAAGCCAGGTCTAAAGATTTTTCACCAGCGTTGCTATATAAAGAGATACATGAATAGTGTTATAGATATTTGTTATTTGAAATTTGAGTTTATATAGAACATATGCCATCTAGAAAAGCGGTTTGGACTCAAAAAATTGATAGTGTTATTTTCATTTTGCAAGCATTGGGTCAATACTACAACTGTTGTCATTGTAGTCCAAGAGGGCATTATCAGTTCTGTAATACTTCGGTACTGACATGATTTATAACAAATCTTTAATAAATTCTCTGTTGATACATTCAAGACAATGAAGAAACTAAGATTCAAACTCTTCAAGTAAAGTTTACCTTAGAAGGATTTGGATATCACTTTTAGATCCATTTTGTCGTATAGCTCTTCATAAGCCAGGTTCGGAATTTATACATCCTTCTTTAAAATTCTGGCTTTTGGCTTTGAGCGATCCTGATTGATTTTAATTCATAAAAACGCTTCGGACGCAAAAAAAGTCGATAGTTTTATTTCATTTTTTTATTATTTGAAGTACAATTTTTTTTAGTTGTTCCCACGTTCAAAACAATTTTGATTTCCTATAACTAATGGTGACTGATTTTAAATAGAA